GACAGGGATGTCTATGTAGATGCACATTCAGCCAGTGCTGCACCAATTGCACTGGTTGCCTGATGAGTACCGGATCAGATTCAAGGTTCTGGTATTAACCTTTAAGGCCCTGTGCAGCCAGCCATCTCTTCCTGTATGTGCCCCAAGAGCCTTGCACTCCTTTGAGCAGCACCACTTAGCAGTCCCTGGCCCAAAGGACATCCCACCTTGCCTCGACCAGGGCCAGGGCCTTTTCAGCTCCGGCCCCTGCCTGGTGGAACATGGTCCTGATTGAGATCAGGGCCCTGCGGGACTTAACTACCATTTCTGTAGCGCCTGCAAAATGGAGCCGTTCCACCAGGCTTTTGGCTGAGGCAGTGGACGTCCAAGGACACTGGCCTTCCCTGCTCAGTGCGGTCAATCTGCTAAATTGCCTCATCTGCCTCAGGGCACTGCCTATACCAACCTGGCAACAGAACCAGCTGACTGTTTTCTCTGACAGAAATGTGCCCTCCCTGACATTGTTGCAGCAAGCACTGTAGTCAGAATGGTTAAGCTGCCGTCAGATATTTTAACTGATCTATTTTAGATGAATTGGTTGTTGTATGAATTATTATTTATTGTTTCACTACATGTTGTGAGTCACCCTAAGCCAGCTTGCAGGGTAGGGTGGGATACAAATAAAAATTCTTAAAACATATTTTTTTTTTGTTCTGAGAGCAGCAGGAGGTGTTTGTGAGCAGCACAAAGGGCTTAGTCCAGCTCTCCCTGTACCGCTGTGAACTCTATGGCAAAACCTGCACAGACTGCTGTCTTGGTAGAGATCCCTACTGCACCTGGAATGGCAAGTCTTGCCGGCCCCTCCTGCATACTAAAAAAAGGTGAGGTTGTGACCGATTCCACGACAAGATTGCCTTTGCTCTCTTGAGTTGTGTGTGGGGACACTGTCTTTATATGGTGATATTTCCTCACTGCCACAAAATTAAACAGGAGGCCAATGGCTTTTTAAAGTCAGAGCTCACTTCATCATATGCATGAAGTGTACATACATTAGGCAGGCAGACTAGCGCTACAGACAACAGAAAGGGTGAAGGGGGTAGATGTTACTGCACAAGCTCAGTTTGAAAAGATCCAATCAAAAAAAGTGGGAACCCTTCTGATCTGTGCTGTCACATCTCACTATGTACTTTCCTGGACTGATTATTTTATTTAAAATAATTAAATACCCTCCTTTCTCCAAAGCATCTCAAGCCCCAAGAAGGTTGGTGTCAAGGACCCAAGCCTGGGTCCCCGAGTCACTGCTCCTTGTCCCTCGAACAGTACCCAGCCCTGGGGGTCCTTCAGGGTTAAACGCACACAGACAGAGCAGACCTTTTAAAAGAACATCAAGGTTTATTCGGAGATTTTAAAAAAGACATCACTACACAATACAGTCTCTATAGCTTAGCAATAGAGAAATAAGAAAGCTAACTGTTCTAATACCTTTGGTACCTGACGGCATATCTTTTTGTAGCACAAGAATCCAGGCCGTAGCCTAAAGAATTCCTTTATGTTATGGTCCATCATGATGAAGCGTAACATATCAAAGCATACTAGCATGGCATGAGCAGAAAGTTAGCATGGCTTCCCCTATACCCTTATTATAGCTTTTTTGTCCTCTGGCATCTGGTGGTCCTTTGGATGCAATCAGGAATCATTTAACATCTGCTCCTAATTCTCCCCCCCATTTGATTATATAGCTGAGCACAGGTTCTTGTTTTTAACCAATTGCCTGATGTCTGAGTCCAGCCTCGAAAGAGATAAGGAAGGTAGCTGCAGGAAGGCTCAGATCACAAACACCTGCAAGCCGGGCTAGATCCTGTAATAATCACTAACCTTGAGGGAAGTTGGGGTGCTTTGCCTCACAGTTGGTAACAACAGTTTAAAAACAATTTGATTAAACAAAAATTAAATCAGACATAAAAACATCAAAATGTTAAATGTGGTGTTAATCCCACTTTACATATCTAACAACCATTAGGATTGCTTTTCTGTTGTTTGTAGCTGTGATTATAAATATACCTGCCTAGTAGATGTACCCTTCACGCATCTGATGAAGTGAAAACTTACGCTGGAATAAATATGATTTACTGGACTCCTGTTTAACCTATACATGAATGTGAATTGGGTGTGTATCTTAAAATGGCAGTCTGTGGTAGGTGGCCTGTTCTCCACACCTTCCACTTCAGTAGGTGAGCAGCTCCCCTTGCTGCTTTTTCTAAAAGGCTCTGCTCGGGGGCTCCAGTCCCAGATCCTTTCCTACCACCATTCCTGCAGGACCTGTGGGACATTGGCCATTAGCTTTCCTCTACATCTTTGGGAGACAGTGATGCCGCAAGCCCATGCGTGTTCTCTTTTGTTGAGTTATTACCAGACAACTGTGGGGAGTGGGAGCAGGGAAAGGAGAGCTCCTATGTCTTGCTGACAGGGTAATGGAAGCAACTGTTTGGACCTGTAGCGTGAGGTGGTCCCGCCCCCTAGCATGCATTCCATCTCCCTGCCAAGTGCAGAGACGCAGTGTCTTTCCATTGGCATTCATCTCCTGTTCATTCCCATCATGGCCTTGGCCCACCAGCCCCCTTGAGCTAATCAATATACTTGCAGAAGAAACTGGGGTTAAGCCTATGAACTGTCTTCCTTGCAGGCAAGCACAATGCCAAGATGTGCTAAAATCCAACCCAACCAGACAGTGCCAAGATCCTGCAAAGGGTGAGTCATGGGACATCCACTGGGCACGCCTATGAGCTAGTTCACCTAAAGGAAACTACATCCAGCTGTTTAAAACTTGAGACAATCTCGAAGATCATTTAAATTCAGCCCTTTGCATTAAAGGTGGTTTTAGAGTACCTAAACTCATCCCTTCCCAGAAGCTGACACAGCTTCCTGTCTACCCCTCGCAGCTGCTAAGGGTGATTAACCCACAGAACACTGGTTTAAGTGGAGAAGCCTTAAACACAGGTTGGGAAAGCGACCACCTGGGAAGTGAAATCTATCTTGTTTAAAGTGCACATTGATTTACATTGACGTCTGCAGCTGACAGGGCCGTTCAGTATTAATCCAGCCACAGCTATACGAGAGATGGATAAATAGGGGTGCTCACCTGAGTTTCCATAAACACTTGTCAGCTCTGCATTTAGCCCTGGATATTAATGTAAACCCCACCATTAATTCAGATCTACAAAGCCGTCTGCAGCGGAGACTGAACTTGCTTTCCTCAAGACGCCGCTACTACCCTGACAGGGCAGCTGCTATGCATGGATACGTTATGGATGTGTCCAGTGATGTGTCCTAATGATAATTCCCATCTCTGCCTTGCTAGATTGCCTGCTTGCAGGTAGCACTCACCTCTGTATTCTGTGCTCTCTACACAAGGGCATTTCTCCTCCTTCAAAGTTTGTTTTTTGTTTAGTTGCCTGAGCAGAAGTAGTAGTAATAATTCAAATA